CGAGATCCATTGAAAGGCAACTGAAAGAAGGGCCTCATACGATGAAAAGACAAAGAAACCAAAGATTGGAGAGGCCATTGACGCGCTTGGAGAAAAGATTCAATAAAGAGGAGATTGAAAGAAGACAGAATTAGTGATAAATTTGCCTATTGCCCAATCCAACTGGGAGAAATCAAGGATACCACAAGACAATGGATCGAGGATCTGCAGAAAACCAGAGAAAAAGCGATAGCAAGAAAGAAGAGAGCGAGGAAGTGTCTGAAGTGAAGTGAAGACCTTCTCGGTGAGTGTAGTCTGACGGGCCCGACGGTCAGCTGACTATGGAGACGGATAATCCAAATGGACTAAAAATCGACTCGAGGAGTAGCAGGCGACCGGAAATGGGAGTGCACTGTTTGCTTGGGGGAAATGCAAGATACGTTAACGTCTGTCAACATGGAACTATTAATGCAATTTTGCAGATGCATGTACTCTCTCCAAAGTCACATCTGCACTAGCCTATTCAGGCGTGTGTGTTTGTGTGCGTGTGATTTAATTTGATTTAAACTGCTTTGGAAATGTGTGTTTTCGTAAAGTTTATTTACTCTCCATTGTCATATCTGCCACGAAGACTTCCTTCAAAATGAAAAGGGAATTCTTCGAAAGTCACTTATTCGTCATACAGACAGACAAAGAAAAAAGGAAATGCGAAGAGAGAGAGAGAGATATATATATAAAAGATGAGAAGAGAAAACGGATCGCCACCTACCAAAGACAGATGAGGTGGTCGGCCCCGGAGACCGAGTGCCGGAGAGTCGACGAGGTGGTTTCATGGGCCGAGGATCGCCTGTGGCCAGGGCGCGGGGTTCCACGGGCGGCGAAGTCTGGCCCCGTCGACGCCCGACGACTGCTTTTGCTGAAGCCAGCGACTGTTGCTGGGGCATAGGACGAGTTGACGAGCCATTCGTGTCCGTCTCATCGGCGAACGGCAACCAGAAGTCGAGGCCCGCCTCACGGCGACAAGGACCGGCGGCTGGTTGGGAGGGGGGGCGCGAATGAGGAGAAAAGAGACAACAATAACCCACAAGTCTGGCAGGCAAGTGGGCGCAGACGTGTGAAATGATAGAGTGGAATAGTAGACCGGATGTGAACAGCCGAGTCACGGTTGGTGCCACATTGGCACATGAAGATCGCCTCGCGACACAATTGAGCTTCGTGTGGTCGCGCCATACCAAACGGCTATCTCGGGCGGCGTGTGCTGAAGGTTCGACTCTAACTTAGGCAAATTCGTCTTGTTGTCAGGACTTAATGAACAGAAGAAAAGTTGGGTTTCGAGGAATCTATTGTTTCATAATTGGTGAGCTAATTTCCATTTCGAGTGGAAGTGTTGGGTGAAGAGATTCGAAGGTCCGTTCCACCAGAAAATTCCTCTTGACCAGCTGTCGATTGGCTTGACTGGAACATTCATGCTGACGCTGTTTCCGAGGCAACCTCCTTCGATTCCGGTGAAAAGGTGCTAAATTTTCGCTTGTCATATGACGGACATCATCAGAGCGAGGTAACATCTTTACAACCAAATTGAAGCTAACGAGTCAAGAAAAGTGACCGGCAAATCCCTAAAAAATGGTATATCTACTCTACATCTGGCCTCTTTGATGAAGTATAAAGTGATTTGACATATGATCTTAACTAACTTTCTTGACTCGTTTACTTGAATTTTGTTGTGACGATGTTACCTCGGTCTGATGATGTTCGTCATAAGACAGACGAAAGCTTAGCACCTTTTCACCGGAATCGAAGGAGATTGCCTCGGCAACAGCGCCAACATGAATTTTCCAGTAAAGCCAATCGACAGCTGGTCAAAAGGAATCTGCCGTCGTCTTCTGGTGGAACCGACCTTCGAATCTCTTCACGCAACACTTTCACTCGAAATGGAATTAAGCTCAGAAATTATGAAACAAGATATTCTTCGAAACCCAACTTTTCTTCTGTTAATTAAGCCCTGACAACAAGACCAATTTGCGAAAAAGCGGTCAAACCAGTTCTTTACGATGAAAGGTTAAATAATTGAGTTTCTCCCACGATATTATGAATAGGTATGATGATAACTTCGTATTCATATTAAAAAAAGCTGGATTTCGAAGAACCTCTCAACGATTTAGTACGACTCCAATTGTAATTGATAAGGACAAGTTAGTTGAAAGAGACTCTTTAATTGGCCTCACCGTCATGTGACAAACACCATCAGAGTGCGAGATCATACTTCACGAAAACACGTACCAATCCATGCAAAAAGGGGGAAAAACAACAATTGTTACTTAGTCACAGGACCGACGTAATGTGCATTGTGGGACTGGCGAATATAAAGCCAACTTGTACTTGTAACCATCGTGAATAGGAAACGGTCGTCGAAGCCCGGAGGAGGAGGTCTTTTGTGAAGACGAGCTGAGTAAAATTGCGTCTCGCACTGACGCCCTTAACTCATGCCATTGCAGGAAATCCAACCGTCAGTCCTTGCATCACCTTAGGCGACCTGAGGTTAGTCTGGTTCCCATTTGACACTTACTCATACTTTCCAGGTCCCCTCTGCCAAGGTACAAGTGGCCATGGCGAAATAGCACAAATGAGCAGTTTAGTGGAATTGTCAATTGATCCAGGTCGCTTAGATCAGGTCTGACACTCGAAATAAGTGGGTCCCATGCTTAAGCATGCCTCGGAAAAGGTTTCCACGTCGCTTCTGAACTGCAGTTTCGACTACACCGAGACCTTCAGCACCCTCAACGGGACTCGAACCGAGGTGCATTTGCATCAAGCAAAGACAGATTGCCACTCCAGCCTCGTCTGTGGACGCAATGAGCAGAAGTTGTGACGACCAAGATGGTGTATTCTCACGTAATCTGGTTAAAACGGCACACAAAACCATTTCGAGTGAAAGTGTTGAGTGAAGAGATTCGAAGGTCGGTTCCACAAGAAGACGACGGCGGATTCCTCTT